TGAGGTAGGAGGCCAAGACGCAGAAGGGCAAGAAGACATGGAGTTTGGTGGAGAGAGACTCAGAGGTGGGGGGACAGAGAACCAGAGAAATCTGGAAACATAGGCAGAGATGCGAAAAGAAAGAGAAGAGACTCAGAGCTGGAGACAAAGATGCAGGGATGTGGGGACAGGGACACTGAAACAGAAGGAGAGAGCTCCACAGACATTCAGATTTCCCGGCTGAGTGATGGGCACACGCAAGCCTGGGGCAAGGACAGCAGCCACCCGTGTGGGGCCGGGGACGAAGGCTTGGGACCTGCTGTGTTGAACCAGGGTGTTGGGGGAAAGCTGCGATCCCCGGGGAACAGGGTGCTCCACCTGCCATCACCCCATGCCCAGTGGGGTGACGACACCACCTTCTCTGCAGGTGACACCCCAATTTTCCAGTGCCTCCTACATTTTTGGGGTGACACCCGTCCTGGGAACCCCACCCGGCTCTAATGCTGCTTCCCTCACTGAGTCACCTCCAACCCCGCCAGGCTTGTTGGAGGGGAGACCTTGGTGACTCAGGCATCCAGGCCCCCAGCTTCACCCCCAGGAACCTGCAGGTCTGAGTCCCAGGACCCTGCCCCACTGAGGGAGGCAGCGGCCTAACCCAAGAACCTGGACCCCAGCCCCTCCTCCCCCAGCCCAGGAGTCCAGGCCCCGGGTCCTCTGCTCTGTCAGGACCAGGAGGCCTGGGCCACAGCCGCCTCCTTCAGGAACCAGGCTTCTCAGTTCCCAGCCTCCTCCCTTCCCAATTTGGAGGTGGGTGAGGTGTGTTTATTTACTTTGGTTCCAACATGAATCGCAGCCAAAACACACTGCCCCCCCCAAGTGCCCCAGGGCCCTGAATGGGGGGACAATGCCCCCTCTCCCAGGGAAATGGGGACCTCACTAAGGATGATGGCAGAGGCCTCAAGGGGAGCCCTCGCTGCACTCCCTCCGCACTGCAGGCCTTTCTTCTCTCCCCTCTCCCTTCCAGTGGTTTCCATTGCCTCCCCCTACCTGCCCCTCCACCTTCCCATCTCTCTTCTCTGAATGTGTCTCCCCTCCTTTCATTTCTCCCCAGATCTTTGTGCCTCTCTGTCTAGGCATCTATTTCTCCATCCCTCTCTGTCTTCTCGTCTCCCTCCATATATCTAAAACTCTCTCTCTCTGACCTGGACCTCCCTTCTGTCTCTGTGTCCCCCTTCCTTCGCCATCTCTCTGTCTCTCCCTCTCTTTTGGTCTCTGTCCTTTGACCCAGCTGTGCCCCTTGCACCTTGGCTCTGCCTTCCCTTCCCAGCACTCGGCCCACTCCCCTTTCTATCCCCACTCCAGCTCCTCATCCCTGGACCCTCCCCCACAATTTCCTGGTCTTCTGAAGTCCTGGAGGAGGGCAAGTGAGGGGAGGGGGAGGGGTGGAGAGGGAGGAGGGGCAGTTCCGGTGGGGGGGGAAGGGTTCAGCCTGACCGGCTGGGCTCCCTGGGCACCTCTGTCAGAGCCCCGCCCAGGCCTGTGGCCCGCCCAATATAAGCAGCTCCGGGCCTGAGCCGGAGAACTCAGTGCCCGTGTCACCCACACCTGTCTCCATCATCGCCATCGCATCGCCGCCCTCCTGCAGGTAGGCACCCCACCTCCCCTCCCCCGAGCCCTCTGCTCTGAGGTCAGGCCTCTGCTCTGCTCTCCCCCCACACCGCTCCACTCACATCTCTCTGTCTTCTTGCAGATCTCTCTCCTCTCTCTCTCTCTCTCTCTCTCTCTCTCTCTCTCTCTCTCTCTCTCTCTCTCGACATCCCTTTCTCAATGCTGCCTGTGCCCCTCCTCAACCTGAGTACCACTGGGTTGAGTCTGGAAATCCTAAGGCCTAGCACCCCCTCTACTAACCCCCTTGGCACCGGATGTGGGACATTTCTCTTCGCCGTTCTCAGCCTCAGTGTTCCACCTGCGAAAGGGGCTCGCGGAGAAGTCAGTGCTGGGCAGGCATGAGCGTGGCTGGTGGCATCTCTGTGGGCACCTGGCGCTGAGCTCTTCCTCCCGTATCTCCGACTCAGCCTGTCTCTGTCTCTTGTCTCTCTCTCCAGCTCTACCTCTGGAAGGAGGAGGGTCCTCTGGGGTCTGTCGGGCAGCTCTACAGAGATGGGCGAGTTTCTCGCCCCCACCCCATACACCCCTACCCCCAGTCTCTTCTAGCCAGCAGGCTGACGTGGCCTATTTCTCCCCAGCACCCTTCCCCTGAGAACCCAGTGCCCCCGCCCTTGCCCTCCCCTCCCTCAGCATCCAGTGTCCCTAGGACAGACTCCGCTGCTGTCACCGCTGCCACCTCCGCCGTCCCCAACGCCACCTCCTCAGGGCCAGCAAGATGCAGTTTGAGATGCACGACAACGTGAAAGGCAAAGGTGGGATCACTGGATGGACCAGCAACCCCTCAAGTCCCTGGAACCTGGCTGCTTCCCTCCCCTGGGCGCCCTGGCTTCGAAGACAGACGGCGCCTGCCTGCTTGTACCCCAAAGGCCCCTGAAATGCAGGAACCCAGCACCCCAGGCCCAGACGTGGAGAAGGCGGCAGCACGTCTCAGCCCCGCCCACATGTGGCAGCACCCTTCCCAGACGTGCAGGAGCCCCACCCCCAGCTCAACCAGATGTGCAGGAGGCAGCGGCCTGGGGACAGGCCGGGGTGTCATGCCCAGATGTGGCAGAGGGAAGGGAGCTCAGTGGTGTCCCCTCAGTGGGCGGCCTGCTGGCCGCGCCCAGACTGCCCGGCAGAGGGAGGGGCGGCGGGTGCGGGGACCCAGGAGGCGCTGCGAGGCTGCCCGCTGACCCCCGTCCCCACCTCCACAGCCATGTCCTACCCAGTGACCAGTCAGCCCCAGTGTGCCACCAGCTGCTACCAGACCCAGATCAGCGACTGGCACACCGGGCTCACGGACTGCTGCAACGACATGCCCCTCTGTGAGTGCCCGTCACTCCCCCCAGGCCCCGTCCAACACGCCCCTCCTGCGCCCCACTGCTTCCACTCCCCTCTCCCCTCCTTGGACCCTGAATTCCCACTCTACCCCTCACGCCTTCCTCGGACCCCAAAACTTCCTGGGGTCCTGACCTCACACCTTCCACCTCCCCCACCACCTCATACCCTATTTCTCAACCACTAATCCTCCCCCCCAACTGCCCCGGGACCTTCACCTCCCCGGCACTCAGTTCCCTCTGGGACCTTCAACTTGGCTCCAGGGACCCGGCAGGAGGTGGGGGGCAGGAGGGGGCCTCCCTGACCGCCCGCTCCCGCCGCAGGTCTGTGTGGCACTTTCGCCCCCCTGTGCCTCGCCTGCCGCATCTCGGACGACTTCGGCGAGTGCTGCTGCACGCCCTACCTGCCCGGAGGCCTGCACTCCCTGCGCACCGGCATGCGGGAGCGCTATCGCATCCAGGTGCCAGGGGGCGGCGCCAGGGGGCCAGGGGTGGGGACTGGTCTCCTGGACCCGGCAGGGCTCCTAACCGCTCTCTCCCACCCTCTAGGGCTCCATCGGGCATGACTGGGCGGCCCTCACCTTTTGTTTGCCCTGCAGCCTCTGCCAGATGGCGAGGGAGCTGAAGATCCGAGAGTAAAGGGTCCCCCGCCCTCCTCCCCCTGGAATGCTGCCTCCTCTGCCCCTCCTGGGAGGGGCCTGCCCCTCCGCCCATCCTGACACCAGAAATACACCCACAATAAAAACCTGAAAACCAGCTCCGCCTACATCTTCTGTCCCAGGGAAGGAATCTGGGTGGAGAAGGAGGTTTGGTGAGGAAGGTGGAGACACGGGGAAGGTGCCTAGGGGTGGAAGGAGTTCGGGGTCAGATCTTTCACACACACACACACACACACACACATACACATACACACTCTGGTGGTGGATGACACTGGCCGGTCTCTTCCTTTCTCTAGCCAGGGTGTCTCCAATAACAAACCAAAACCACTCACCCCGTAGCTGCCTGTCGGAAGCTCTGCCCAGATTGTGAAAATAAGCAGACCCAGAGGCCATCTTGGTAGGATCCAGGCACTCAAGTTCAGAGAGAAGTTTTAGGACAGCCCCTGCTCCTTTACTACCTACAGATTCTTAGCCTACACACAACTCTGTCAGGGGACCTTTGTTTCCTAACAGAGAACTGCCAGGTTTAGGGCTTTCTGGAGCAGGAAGGCATCCGATTGGATCCACTCTATCACAAAAGCAACTACAGATTAGAAAACATTCTGGTCTCAAAATTGGACAGACCCGGGATTCAATCTCGACTCTTGCCACGTACTGTGTCGTCAGTGAACTAATACACCTTTCCGAGCCCGTGTCCTCTGGGGGCAATCCCTATAGGTCACGTGGCTACTGGAGGCAAGAGATGGAACAGATGGGAAGGCCAAGCGTGAAAATAAACTATTGTTGCTGGTTGTTAATATTATTTTATGTAGAGTACAAGATAACTATTCAAATGTTAATGTTATTTGTTGTAATTGTTCTCGATCTGTGGATCCAACCAGAGTGACAACTTCACTTGGAATGTCCAATAGGCATCTCAGATTTAACATGTCCAACACTTCACTCGGTTTCCCTCCCAAACCCGCGCTCCCACAGTCAGAGAACTAGCAGCCCCAACCTTCCAGGCGCTCAGTCACTTTCTCGCCCAGCATCCAACCTGTAAACCAATTCTGCCTGTTCTTTAAAAATATACCCAGAATCTCATTTCTCCTCACCGCGCCCCCACACTGTTCCAGCCACCCTCCTCTGCAGCCTGAATGCAGGGCTCCCTGCCCACCCCCCTTAGTCTCTTCCCCACAGAGGAGCCCTGTGAACATCGGAGTCGGATCACATCCCTCCTGTGCTCAGAACCCTCTCATGTCTCCTCCCACACAGAGTAAAAGCCGAGTGCTCACCTGGGCCAAGGACCTGCACCATCTGCCTCTTGCTCCCTCTGTAACCTTGTCTTCTCCTTATTCTCACCACTCCAACCACACAATCTCTTTGTTGTTTCTCTAAAAGGCCAGGCACACTTCCACCTCGGGGCCTTTGCACTGGCTGTTCCCTCAACTTGGAATTCTTTCCCCCTCAGGTGTCCCTTCACTTCTGCTCTCTTATGAGCGAGGCCTTCCCTTCCCACCTTACATTAAGTAGCAAGTATGAGCCTCCCTTGCCCTTCCTTCATTGCCGTTTTCCTGGTCATCTCCCAACATTCCCCATCATTTACTTGTTTATGATGGGGCTCCCCACTGGGTTGTCGGCTCCATGAGGGCAGGGACCGTTCATTTGTGTCCCCAGCACCTTGGACAGTGTGTGGAGTTAACAAAGGGAAGTGATTTTAGAGGTGATGGGGAGGGGCAGTGGAAACTCAGGCTGATGTCAGAATCTGGGCTCGCCTGCTAATTAGCCCTGAGGTCTTAGGCAAGGGACTCGGCTTCTGCACCCACAAGATGAGGGGACGAGCCTTTACCTCCCAGCGGGGGTGCTGGTAAGACTACAAGTCGTGCCAAGCACCAGGCACAGTGCCTGGGGTGCCCTTGGAAACATTTCCCCCTTTTCCTGAGCGTTGCCAATCCTTAGGGCATTGGTGGCCACACACAGGCTAGAACCAGGCGTCTCCCCTCCCTCACCCAGGTCTTCTCACACTCCAGGCGCCTCTTGCATTCAGGAGTGCGGCTACTAGGGAGTGGGGCGGCCGAGGGGCTGACATGGAGGGAGGAGGGCGTTTGTAGACACCTGCAGGCCAGTGACAAGACTTGGAAGAAGGGTGGCTCTGCATCCGGAGAAAAGGCGCAGTGCCACGCTCTCCTCAGGAAGGCAAAGTCCCAGGTGACAGCGAGGAGAGGCCTTGCCTACGGGTTCCCGCCTGGTCACGCAGAGTGACCTCTGCACTGGCCCTGAGACTCAGGCAGCAGCAGGTGGTGGCAGGCTCGGTTCCTGGTGAGGGCACATACCCAGGCTGTGGGTTCGATCCCTGTTCAGGAACGTACGGGAGGCAATCAATCAACGTTTCTGTCTCCCTTCCTCTCTCTGGAATTAATAACAATAAAATACAGACGAGCCTGGTGGTCAGGCATCTGAATTTGAGAGTCAGAAGGTCTGGGTTCAGATGACAGCTGTCACTCAACAGCTAAAAACCTGTTTCCTCATCTGCAAAAAGGGGATGCATGGTACCTACCTCATACAGCTGATGGAAAGATCAAATGAAACCACAGCAGTTAACAAGCCACGCAAACTGTCTAGCACCGGGACTCAGTAAATACAAGTTCAGTCACATCTTGGAGGTAAGGTGCTACCATCAGCTCACGAAGGCAGAGAAATCCCTGAAAATCACAACGGCCAGAAAGTCTGAAGACACTGACATTCACGGACCACACTGGAAACCCACCCGCTCCCAGGTCCAAAACATCAGCACGTCCTGGCTCAATGTCAGGGGAAGCAGCCTGCTTGGGGCCTGGAGGCTGAGCTGCACAGAAAGGTACATTAACACTCGCAGTGAGGCACCTGTGACGGAGGCCACCGCGGGGCTGGAGACCTGCGGCTCCCACCTCACCTCGCCTCAGCGCTCCTGCTGCCGTGGGACTGGCAGATAAAGCTCCCAGGATGCTTTGGTTTGGGCTGTGAGAGTCTACTTGGATTAGAGAAAGCTCGTCATGCTAGGGCCTCTTTCAGTCTCCATGCCTGAACTCTTGCGTCAGGAGCCAGAATTACACCTGGTCCTGGGACAAAGGCAAGTATGTTTTCCCTCCTAAAAGAGGTCTCCCTGCGACAGAGATCTGGGGAAGAGTCCAAGGCCTCACTGCCCTCATGTCCCTTGGTTTGTCCTTTCTGGGAACAAGAGCTTCTATGGTGGCACCACCCCAACTCCTGCCCAGGAGGGGCACAGAGGAGCCCGGGCCGTGTGGCTTAGAGAGGCACCAAGGGTCAGGGTCAGAGCCCAGGGGCCCGTCTCCTGCATGCAGAGCGCATGGGACACCGGTCTTCCCACACTCTTTATTTGTTTTTGTTTTTTTAATATATTTTATTGATTTTTTACAGAGTAGAAGGGAGAGGAATAGAGAGTTAGAAACATTGATGAGTGAGAAACATCAATCAGCTGCCTCCTGCACACCCTTACTGGGGATGTGCCCGCAACCAAGGTACATGCCCTTGACTGGAATCGAACCTGGGACCCTTCAGTCCACAGGCCGATGCTCTATCCACTGAGCCAAACCAGTTAGGACCACTCTTTACTTGTTGATTCGATCAATCCCCATTCTCTCAGCCGACCCCCGGCAGAGGGGAAGATGCAGCGCCCAACTCTCCAAGTCCAAAAAGCAGCTGACGGATGAAGTCTCGGGAAAGGAGAGTCTCAACTTCAAGATGGCTAGGATTGGAGGTGGGTGTCTTCAAGGGGGAGAGGAGCTCAGAAGTCCACGGTGATGGCCGAGGTGGGAACGGCCCCTGGGAGGACCCAAAAGTCTTCCAGGCAGCATCGTCTGGCGTGTTGAGGGCTCCACCAGTTTTACCTCCCACCTTGGTGTCCACCCCAACCCCCTCGCCCCCATGCCTGGGGCACCTCAGGCAGTGGCTTTGTCTCCTGGCTCCCTCTGAGCCTGTGACCCTAGTCCTGGGGTCAGGCAACACCGCCAGAGCCCTGTCCCTCCAGCCAAGGGGTGGCAGCAGCTGCTTCCTGTCCCTGGGCTGCCTCGCTGTCCCGCCTCTGACTCTTCTCAGCCTTGCCCTCCACCAGCCCAGCCATCCCTGCATTCAATTCCTTCTGCTGAGATACTGAGTGGCTTCTGTTCCCATTTGGACCTGACTTGAGATGTCTAAAGGGCATTTTAGGCCCAAAACTAGGCTCCTGATCTGCCCCAAGCCCCAGTCTGCCCATGTTAATAAATGACCCAGTCCTGCCTGAGGTTTCTCAGTGGTTAGAGCGTTGTCCAGCACACCAAAGTGTCTTGGGTTCAATTCCTGGTCAAGGGCACATACCTGGGTTGCAGGTTCCCTCCCGCCCTTGGTTAGGGAGTTCAGGAGACAACCAGTCAATGTATTTCTCTCTCTCTCTCCCTCCCTTCCACTCTCTCTGAAAAGAAAAACAATGGAAAAATATCCTCAGGTGAGGATTAACAAAAATAATAATAAACGACCCCACCATCCATGGGCCACAAAGTTAGGGCCCTTCTGGCTTCCTCCCTCCCTCATGCTGACACTCACACTACCCATACACCCTTCTATCTACATCCAGCTCTGTCCCCGACTCCCCCTCCCACGGCCACCACCCCTGCTGTCTCGCTCAGCCCTTCCAATCCATTCTCCCTGCCACAGATGAGTGACCTCTTAAATAGGTACATCGGATCCTGTCATCCCCCCTCACAAAACTGTCCATCAGCTTCCCATTGTCCTGAGAACAAAACCCCAAACCCTATCTGGGGCCCACAGGCCCTGGGTGGTCCAGCCCCAGGGGCCTAACCCTGGCCCTGTCTCCTCTTCACTCAGTTGGGGTCACACTGGCCAGCTTTATGATCTTTCCACTAAAACAGCTGGTTTGCACATCAGGAACCTTGTTCCCTCTGCCTGAACACACTTCCCCCAGCCTTTCCTTCCGTTTTTATCTAGCTTCTCGGATGCCCAGTTGACTTTCCACATCAGTCCCACAAGACTAGGGACACTTCTGCCCCAGTTCCCCTTTGCCCGGTCCGGTGCCTTCAACAGTGCCTGGCACACAGTAGGAACTCAATAAGTAAT